GATTGATTTAGTTAATGGATTCATCATCCATCCATCTAGGGTTTACTTGCTTCTATTTCTTCTTCAACGGGAAATCAACAGATTTTTTATTTATTTAATTCATCATAGATGCAAAGTCAATTGTATTTGAATGAATGAAAACCTCTGTCCAAGTTGATTTTCATCCAATTGTTGCTCAATTTTCTTTTTCAAAATTGAAATCTCGTTATGACTTTCTCTAATTTGAATTATTCTATGTATAGATAGATGGGGGGATATCTATTGATAAGCACTGCACAGAAGCTTTGATTGAGACATCACCAGCCTTCATTTGCACTATCTTTTCAAAGCTCCGTCAATGGCATACTTCAACCTCTCTTTCCTCGCCCTCCTCCTCCTCCTGCTCCCACTCGCTCTCCTTCTCATCCTCTACTTCATAGTCCGGCCCCGCCCTGTCAAGATCCCAATCAAGAACCGCCACGTGTTCATCACCGGAGGTTCCAGTGGAATCGGGCTGGCATTGGCCCATCAGGCCGCCTCCGAGGGTGCCCGAGTCTCCATCCTCGCCCGCTCCATCGACAAGCTCGAGGAAGCTAAGAACTACATCCAACTCTCCACGGGCATTGACGTGTCGATCTTCTCTGCTGACGTTCGTGACTACGATGCGGTATCAAAAGTGGTGGAGGAGGCAGGCCCCATTGATGTGCTGATTGTCAACCAAGGGGTCTTCGTCCCTGAAGAACTTGAGAAGCAGGGATTGGATGAGGTGAAGTTCATGGTGGACGTAAATCTGATTGGCAGCTTCAACATGATCAAAGCTGCTTTGCCCAAAATGAAGAAAGGAGAGGACAGTATGCCCCGTTCGATTGCTCTCATGTCTTCCCAAGCTGGTCAAGTTGGTATCTACGGCTACACAGCTTACTCTGCGAGCAAGTTTGGCCTTCGTGGGTTGGCCGAAGCTCTGCAACAAGAGGTGATATCTCATGATATTCATGTTTCTCTGATATTCCCTCCGGACACAGACACCCCAGGTCTCACTGAAGGTAAAATGTGAATAAAGTTGTTTACTTTCCATGTGAGATTTGCTTGATTTGATTGAATTGGATTTGATTTTTCATCCACTCTGATTTTGATATTCACTACTTCTTGTAGAGACAAAAAAGCGGCCGCAACTGACCAGCATTATAGCAGAGTCGTCAGGGGTGATGAAAGCTGAAGAAGTTGCGAAGAAGGCTTTTGAGGGGATCAAATCTGCTGCTTTTATTGTGCCTTGTAACCTTGAAGGGGCGTTGCTGTCTATTGCCACTGCTGGGATGTCTCCTCAGAGATCGTTTGTTATGGCATTTGTTGAAGTGGTTGCTGCTGGTTTGGTTCGTCTTGTGGCTCTGTTTTTCCAGTGGAATTGGTATAATGGTATACGCACGTGGCATGCACAGAACAAAAGTGAGTATTGTTTCGTATCAGCAGTTGAAATGATCTGTTTTTCAGTGTTCAGTTTGATGTTACTGCAGATGTTTCTTGGACACAATTGTCATGTCTAAAAAATCTTTGTTGTTATTATGTTGACTTAATCGAGACTGCGAACTTTGATGATTGGTGCTGCTGGTTATATATTTTTTTTGTATTTCAGATGTTAGATGGTTCATGCATTTAAGTTAATCACAATGCTTAGTGTTTCACAAACTTTGCATTTCAAGACAAGCTATGTGTTAGAGAGAGAGAGAGAGAGAGAGAGAGATTAATATCATTTCCTTGATGGTTCTGGTTTCATGTTTCTGATATGGACCAAGTATAACAAGATGCACCAGTCAGAAAGAGTGACGTAAGCAACATAGATGCCAGTGCTTAGGGGGCAGCGGAAGACTAAAATTAACATGGTGGAAAATCACAGATAGTCGAAAGATGTAATTCTGTATGACTTATGAAAATATGGTCAACGATTTGATGGAACAGAGAACTGAGATTCATGTAGCTGACCTCAAATGGTTGGGAACTTGGGACTTGTCACTGTTAGATGGCAGGAGATCAAAGTGAAATTTACCTGCATGCAGCTTCTATTTTTGTCATAGAATATTAAAATTCTAGTACTGGTTTTCCATTGTATCTAGAGCCCCCATTTCGTCCAATGTAAAGTAACAGTCGGAAAATTTGATCTTTTCTTTTCCTGTGTTAATTTCCTTGCATTTTTTTTTTTGGTTATGATTGAAAATTGAACAGTTCTTGCTTTGTCTATGATTTTTAATTTCAGGGGCCTGAAGTTGGTGCATTGTAAGGGCACTTCTTACATCGCAGCTGTTGGTTGCGGGATACTTTGGTTCTTCGAGTCACTGACCTTCACAGAAGGTGGTTTGGGCTATCGAATTTGCACCGAGCATCGCTTAGCATTTGGTATTTGGTACTGCTTGAGGAAACTTGTTTTTTACCTCCACCAGTCTTCCTTTAAATTAAGACTGTTGTCGTTCCAGGGCATGTGGTATGTTAAATCTTCATTGCTGACTCTGATAGATACCTAGAGTTGTAGGCACAGGAAATTGAAATCACTCTTGAGATTAGGTTTTGCCTTCTTTTCCCCCCAACATAAATTCAATAATATGTTCTGATGAAATAATTTGCTGGATTAGAATTTCATTGCGGTAAATATCCTAAAAGCATATATAGTAAACTCAAAACTTCACCTATACTTGTTCTCTTTCCATTTTAATTACATCACTTACACCTGCAAATATGAGAACAAGGTGGCATACAAGTTATTTAGGTATGGACATTGTTTTACAGTGTTTGTTAAAATATAAACCAGTAGTGAAATGTTTCTTCGGATCAAAGGCTTTGGAATTTCTGGTTTGTTTTTTAAAACCCATGTTCAAAAGAATTAAATACAAATATGAAACGTTCTAGTCCTTACCAAGTATAATATCAGTGAAAGAATATAAACAGGATCTGGTAATTTTCTTGTGGATTGTTGATTAAAGGACTAAGAAATGTCTACAAGAGTTTTGTAGCTCAAATTGTTCACAACATTTTTTTTTTCAGATGAAACATTTATTTCTACCCACCTGGTTCTGTATTTGATTCCTCTATCTTTTAATTTTGCTTGTATACAGGAAAAAAAATAAATGAAATGAAGAATGCTGAAATTAGAGATATTTAGTCATATACCCATTCTTAGCAGTAATGATATAAATAAACCCTACTCAATTTAATTTCTATAAATAAAAAAAATAAAAAAAAACCCCCCAAAAAATGATAGTTGGCCCTATTGAATTGAATTTTGATTATTAAATTATTTTGATGCCCTATTAAATGTTTTGAGTTTTTTTTAGAGTAATGCTATTTAGACACACAACATTGACCACCTTAGTTGACCACCTTATGTGGCAATTGATGTGTCATGCCATGTCAATTAATGAATGTTACCATGAAGCCACTTACTTGGAACGCTAGGGTTTTTTAATTGACATGGCGACATTCATTAATTGACTTGGTATGACATATCAATTGCCACATAAGATAGTCAGCTAAAGTGGTCAATGTTGTGTGTCTAAATAGCATTTCTTTTTTTTTTTTTAATGAGGTTTTGAGATGGGGCTTGTTTTAAAAAATTGATGACAGTTTTATAATTTATAAGAAGTTAAAAACTTCTTTGTTATGTTGTAAATGAATTTTGAGTGTGTTTCTAAAGTCCATTTCATATAAGGTTTTTTTTTTTATATAAATAATTTGAGCTTCTATATTAGGTATAATAATGAATCTCTCCTGAAATTATGGGCTAGGTAGGCTCAGTAATTGGAGGTATTATATTGTGGTATTGGAGTACAACTACGTGGTATAAGTTGTATATGATATTTAGTATAGATATTTATTGATATTATACATTAAAAGTGAAAATTTTGAGCCATGTGTGAAATGAGAATAATTATCTCCGATCAATTACAATATACCAATTGAAATTGTGATTAGTTGGAATAGTACTATTTTGCTACCTAGAGCTATGCGTGGACGATTTATGTGACGTGACTATTCCACTTGCTATTCATTGTGAGATTAGTTGTTGATTTTTTACTGCAAAACTTTCATCTCATCAAATGTTGTTGAATGAAAATATGTTATGGGGACGTGGCTTGAGGATACCCTCACAATGAATAGCACGTGGCATTAGATGAAGGGATATGTTATCAATTTCTGAGGATCTCCTTGCAGAATCTGCACCACGAAACGAAACTCGTATTAATAGGTTATGTTTATTTTTCGCGGCTACAAAATATTCAGAATGTCTTTTACTTTTAATTTTCAGAGGTACCGTACAATGGATGACATTGACTTCTATACGATACGGGTTCGAGTTTGGAACTAAAATTTTGAGTCTTTATTTATTTATTTTTTTCTCCATATATATTAAAGATGAAAACTCTCTCTCAACGTGGACAGGATTTTACTAAAATTTTC